TAAAATTTTAAAATGTACTCTTATCGATAGTATATAAATGGGATGAATAGTGACATGCGAGCTTTAATTCTTTACTTTTGAAAGTTTATTAATATTTTTTAAGTTTTTTTTTTAAAATTAGAATATTAATAAAACTTTTAAAAGTTTAAGAGTATTTTCTATGTAGTATATTAATCGTTTGTATTTAAAATTAACGATAAATGTATTTTTGTAAGGGTATTATTGAAATTTTTAAAAGTTAAAAAATGGTTTTTTTTTTCTATAAAGATAAGAGGGTTAATGTTACTTTTCAAATTTTATAGATATTATTTTAACATAGTGTTAACGATAAATGTACTTTTGAACTTTTTAAAAAGTTATCATTTCTCTATCGTTTATTATATCATTTATCGTATTTTGCATGTCAATCATATCATTCATGTTACACATGTATCATATCATAATATTTCCATATTTTCAGCATATCATATCATAAATCATGAAGTAGAGTTAACTAAGTGAATTGCTAATATATACGTGTAGAAGAAGAGAAGACAAAGCAGTTTATCGAATGGTCTTCTAGGCTCATGCTAGAGCCTTAAAGGCAGTCATTAAGTTGGACATGAACACGCCCCAAAGTGAATCCATTATGAGAAACTAGAGATAATCTGGGAATAAGCAAAAATTTGTAGAGGCATCACTCGGATCCAAACAAAAGGCAATACAAAGAGGACGAGCTATGCATCTAGAGGTATAAAGTTCTTATGTGTCTAGAGGTATAAAGTTCTTCAACTTTGCTATTGTTTCTTACCCATCAAACAAGATGAACACACATGGAAGAAGAAGGAAAAAGAAAAATATTGAACCAAACTAATTATGATAAGAACTATATATATAATCATAAACATAGTTCTGCGTGGAAATACTCCCCCAACCATATGGAAATACTCCCTCGATGTAAATAGAGAAAAAAGTGTCTATTAGATAGAAGAACATGCACGTACTAAAAAGATGTATCTCAACCGAAGCGTTTTGGTCTACATAAACATATCTCTTTACTATTATCAATCTTATCAAAGACCTTAGCTTCGAAAGTTGTTGTTGGAAGCTCTGTTCCTATTTGTTTGGCATCGAAAGTGATGTAATACAAGAAACCCGACACAGCTTGTTGGTTAGCCTTCACAACTCTCACAAACTCAAAGTTTGTACCCTAGGCATAAAGAAGATTTAATAAGAGGTTAGAAAGGTTATTGATAAAAGGAAATACATATAGAATGAGAAGGTGAAGTAAAACGTCCATATATTTTCCATGTTGTACTCACTAGTAGCTTTCTCGGCACAGTCTCGAAGATTTGGTCTAGATAGACATTCCTCACATATAGGTGCAATGAGACCCATAAGAGAGGTGTTGGAAAAAGTGGATACATCAAAACCCTGTGTAGCCATACGACGATGGATATTAAGCAATAATATTTGAACGTGGACTAAAAATAAAGGGAAATTAGGAGGAGAATGGAAAAGAATAATACGTCGGACTCTCGTAGGGCTTGATAGTATAGTCTCATCTGTTCATCAGCCAAGTCGTCATCCGACTCATAAGGATCAATTGGTTTGTACGTACGAGCAGAGTAGGGAGGTGCCATTTGACGATTAACGAATGAATTACAACCGAAGGTGTCCTGAGAATCAAATAATTCCAATGAAATTTTGAATCAAAATCTGAAAATCAAAGAAAATTGAAGAAGAGAAAGAGAATGACCTCACAAGTATGATCCTTTCAGCCAGCCAAACAATTCTGATGCCGCTCCCAACACAAATTAAACTCTAACCCTAAAATTTATTTATAATGTTTTATTTCAATATTATTTACTTTTATTCATTTTATTATATTTTCTTTCTTAAATTAATTTAGTTATTTTTTATACCCATCTTTTATTATATTTTATTAAAAATGGAATAGAGATCGTTTATTATATTTTCCTTAATTTAATTTAGTTAGGATTATTAGTCGATATATATATATATATATATATATTTAAGGGTTATCTAAATTAATTCATAATCTATTATATTTTATTAAAAATTGAATAGAGATTGAACATGAACTCGCCCCCGAGTGAGACAATTAGGAACGATTTGAGGATAAGCATGTTAGAAATCATGACTCTCACAATAGTATGATATTGTCCCTTTTGAGCATAAGCTCTCGTGACTTTGCTTTGAGATTCGCCTTGAGATAGTATTCCTCACTTATAAACCCATGATCTTTCACTAAATTAACGAGACTCACTCCCAATAATCCTCAACAAAGCAAGAGTCCCGAAAACAGAAACTCACTTGAGTTGCAGACTTAAGGAGAAATCTAACTGTTTTTTTTTTTTGGATAAGCATTGCCATAAGTGTGTTCAAATAGAATAGCTTATTATACGAGTACATTATACATTCATTATATATTTATTTTAAAAAAATGATCTATATATTTTATTATATATTCATTTTAAAAAAATGATTTAGATATTTTATTATATTTTAAAAATAATGATATATAAATATTTTAAGAAAAGAGATCTTCTTCATCTAAAAAATATAATAAAAATGTTTGACTTAAATAATTAGGAATGATAAGTAATTGTAATCATTTAGAGTATTCCTATGATGCGGGTACAAGATACCCGTACCAGCTTGTTGGTTAACCTTCACACTTTTCACAAACTCAAACTTTGTACTTAAGTTATAATAAGAAGACTTTTAACGGAGTAAAAATATACATACATTTACAATGTTGTACTGACTAATAGCGTTCTCCGCACACTTTCAAAGTCTTGGTTTGAGTTAGAAATAGGTACAATAAGAGCAATAGATAAGTGTTGAAAAGGTAGGTCACATCAAAACCGTGTGTGGCATATGATATTACAAAATAATAGAATTCGAGAATAAAATGAAAGGGAATTGAAAAGAGTACATCGGTGTCTAGGCTTGATAGTATCGGTCTGTCTCTTCACTATTCATCTCACGCACACCATCTTCGTAGTATCCATCCGAACATATGACATTAGAGAATGTTCCAAAAGACATATATCATCTGGAGTATCGAATTTTAAATACTCTCGAGTGTTGGACTATGAATGTTGATTTTTTAACTGTTATTAATAAATTGATTTGTTAAAGTAATTTTTATTTTTTAATTATATGTACTATATATAAATAAAAATATTTAAATTTAATTTTTCTAAAGAATAATGATGAATTTCTATCTCATTATCTCATTTTCTTTTCGTTTATATTTTTAGCATTTTTCACTTTCGTTTATGAATATTAAATTTATATTAAAATAAATTAAAAACAAAATATATTTTCTGTTTAAAAATTAATGAAAATTTACCGCTAAGATAAAATAAATAGTTATAGATTTTAAAGTTTAATTAGATAATAAATATATTAAAGTAATAAAAAAATTTATGCTCAAGTTTTAATTTTTTCCACTCATAAAATAGTATATATTAAATAATTGTATTGGTCGATGTATAGAAAATAATTTAAATTATTAGATTTAATTCAAAGAATTATATTAGATAATAAATAAAGAAATTTAAAAAAAATAAAGCAATTAAAATTATTTTTACATTAATTAGGAAGTAATTAGCAGTGTCTCCTCCTCTCTCCTAAAAATAATTAAATAAATATAAATTAATTAAAACATTAATATATTTTTATTTTAAATAATATTGTAAATAGGTAAGAAAATATCATTATAAATATAATTATAATTTTATTAAATCTAAATAGCTGATAATAAAAAATTTAATTATAGTTAATAATAGTCCATTAATAATGATAAAGAGTGATCACGAGGTCGATGAAGAATTTTTTACGTTCAAAAGAATATTTGACTATCGGAGTTCGGTGAAAATAGTAATCTCAGTTGAACTTTTTAAATGATACTGGAAGACATAACAACGTCAATTTGACCAGCTTAAAAATATGAAAGCATACAAAGGCATTAGATCTATCCCATTCTTGGTACGGTTTTGTAACGACCCTTTTTTTTTTTTAATAAAATAAAGACGTCACTACATAATATTATAATATGTACGGAAAATCTTTAAAAATGGTGGACTAAAAAGTGGTCATAGATTTCAATGTTTGCAAAACTCATTTAAAATAAAAGTAAACATCAACTAAATAGTGAAATTAAAATAACTAACAATTTAAAATAAATGCATCCGCCCTTATCTAATATCTAATATAAAGGATACAACTTAATGAAAATGCAACTATCATGACTTTATTTCCATGGCATGTACAATGACAGTGTCATTCATACATAGCTGTCTTTAACTTACCTAAAAAAATAACACGTGGCTTCAGTATTTAAAATACTTCATGAGTGGGAGTTGAATGTGTAATACTTCTCTATATACAACCCACGCACGGGCACATGGACTTACTAGAATGACTTGTATATTACCTCTAGACCTGACCTTCTCTACACACGGTTCACACATGCACACATGGATCCACCAAGGGCTCACATACGTGCCCCTAGGCATGGTCTTTCGCTAGCATATGCTCACGTTGTTGGAGCCACAGAGAGAAAGAAGAATTTACTTATAATACAAGTCATTTATCCATTCTTTTTCTAAAGTAGTGTTTCTATGAGAATTTATATGTTTTACTTGTCATATCTTTCATATTTATTAGAAAGCTATAGGCATAGATCGGATGTATTATGTAATTTATATGGCATAGCACATGAGGGTTCATGTATCACAACATATTGTAACACGACATAACATATATGATAGCAGCAATCATAAAACATGACAGCAATTATAAAACATGACACAATAGTCGGACACGCATCATTCATACAGTAAACAAGTCATCCAACCGAGCCAACAATAAAACTACTTACATGATTGACCTACGTCGTCGGAGTCACTAATTCGACCTAACTCGGTGAAAATACTCTAACGGATAAAAATTTCTAAAAATATAATTAAAATTGACCATACATGCTGGAGGTAAATATGTAACACTTACGTATTCATTTGGTCCGTAAATTCTTTAATTTTTCTATTTATTTAAACAACTTCACAGGGAAATACATCAAAACACAAGAAGAAGAAGAGATTCAAATACACTCTTTTCACACAGATCCCATCACTTCTACTCTTCTCTTTTACTCTTCCATCTCATCTTCATCAATTTCCTCAATCTTCATCTTCTTCACAGTCTGGGCAGCAGCATCGCTTCTTGTGCCATTCTTGAGTTGAATCAACACATCAGACTTATTCCCAGTTTGAGCATCAACCAATCCCCCGTTCTTCTCCACTCTGTACGTCAACCTATCCCCATCACCCCCTGCATCGATGAACACAGTCGAATTCTCATCGATTTCTTCTTTGATCAACATTCTCGATAGCTCTGTCACCACTTTCCTCTCCAGCCATCTTCTTATGGGTCTAGCACCATATACCTGAAGAAACAATCCACACAACCAACCATGTTACCATTTTTGTTCGCCCAAATTCAAGCTACATGTTTGTTCTTTCACTTTCTTCATCAATATACTTACCGGATCGTAGCTCTCTGCCAAGACATGGTCGAGGGCGGCATCCGTCACCGCCAAGGCAATTCCCCTCTCGGCCAGGCGGGCTGCGACGTCTTTCATCTGCAGTCTGGCAACTTTCCTCAGCTGGTCGTGCGAGAGAGGGTCAAATACAACGATTTCATCCAAACGATTAAGCAGCTCCGGCCTGAAGTGTTTCCGCACCTGAAACAGCAGCAGCAAGTGTTCGTTACATTGTAATGAACAGACGAAGAATTGTGAATAAAGAGCACAAAACTTGTTCTGTTTTTCGTACCTCTTGCATAACTCGATCACGAGCAACTTGCATTGTGCATTTTCCCATAAGCCCAGAAAGGAGATGTTCAGCTCCAAGGTTAGAGGTCATGATAATGACTGTGTTTCTGAAATCCACAGTGCGGCCTTGACCATCAGTCAATCTCCCATCGTCTAGAACTTGGAGAAGGGTGTTGAACACAGAGATGTGAGCTTTCTCCACTTCATCAAACAGCACAACACTGTAGGGCCTCCGCCTTACAGCCTCTGTGAGTTGCCCTCCTTCTTCATGGCCAACATACCTGAGAAATCACAAGTTCCCATGAGATTTTGTTCTCTAAAGCAAAGAAAGACCAACAACTTACACTATATGGCGAAAGTCGGTACTTACCCAGGAGGAGCACCGATGAGGCGCGCAACCGAGTGTTGCTCCATATATTCAGACATGTCAATTCTCACCAGGAGGTTTTCATCATCAAAAAGTTGCTCAGCAAGCGCCTTGGCAAGCTCAGTTTTGCCAACACCAGTAGGACCCAGAAACAAGAAGGAACCAGTTGGCTGCTGTGGCCTTCCCAATCCAGCTCTTGACCGTAAAACAGCCTCAGCAACAGCATCAACTGCTTGATTCTGCCCCACAACTCTCTTGTGCAATCTCTCAGCAAGCCCAACCAGCCTCTCTTTCTCATTCTGGCCGAGCCTCGTGACAGGAATTCCAGTCCACCGGCTCACAACTTCTGCTACTTGTTCCGGTCCGACGGTTTCGGTTAACATTAGGTTCTCATCAGTGTTCCCTTCAATCCGTGCTATAGCAGATTCTACTTCCTGGATTGCTCCATATCGCAAGTCAGCAGCTCTTGCTAAATCATATCTTCTTTCAGCCTCTTGCAAAGCTATCTGTAGTTCCTCCCTCCTCTGCTTCAGTCTTCTAATCTCATCTACCCTTTCTTTCTCCTTTCGATATTTCATCAGCAATGGCTGAAGCTTATCCCTCAAATCATCCAGCTCTCTCCTCACCTACAGCAAAGTCAATAAAATGTCAGCAACTAATCAACAATGACAAATAATGAAAGGACAATCTGTAGAAACAATACCCACTTCAACCAAACGAGCTTTACTAGCTTTATCCTTCTCCTTTTCAAGCGCATGGAGTTCAACTTCAAGCTGCATTCGCCTCCTCTCCAAGTTGTCAATTTCTTCAGGCTGGCTATCAAGCTGGACCCTCACATTAGCACAAGCTTCATCAACTAAATCAATGGCCTTATCAGGAAGGTGTCGCCCTGCACAATGTAAACCAAATCAATATCAATATCTTCATCATCCTTATCAATAGCCCTGGAAATAAGAAACAGATACATACCAGTGATATATCGACTCGAAAGCTGGGCTGCAATGACAAGAGCTCGATCTTGTATCCTAACACCATGATGACCTTCATATCTCTCTTTGAGTCCTCGAAGGATGCTGATAGTATCAGGCACACTTGGTTCAGCCACATAAACCTGCTGGAACCTTCTTTCAAATGCCGCATCCTTCTCCACGTACTTCCTGTACTCTTCAAGAGTAGTGGCCCCAATACAACGTAGCTGCCCTCTAGCCAGCATAGGCTTGAAAAGGTTAGCGGCGTCCATTGACCCCTCTGTTCTTCCAGCACCAAGAACAAGATGAATCTCATCGATGAACAGTATAACCTTCCCCTCTGCATCTTCAACTTCCTTCAATACAGCCTTCAATCTCTCTTCAAACTCTCCCCTGTACTTAGCTCCCGCAACCAGAGCACCCATATCCAAAGCTATGAGCCTCACATCAATAAGATTACTTGGAACATCCCCTCTTACAATTCTTTGTGCTAATCCTTCAACCACTGCAGTTTTTCCAACACCAGGCTCCCCAATAAGAACAGGGTTGTTCTTAGTCCTTCTCGATAAGATTCTCACCACCCTACGAATTTCCTCATCCCTACCAATAACTGGGTCGAGTTTCCCCGCTTGTTCTACCAGGTCTCGCCCATATGTTTTAAGTGCCTGAAATGTTGTATCGCCAGACGCACTCTCCACTTTCTTCCCTTCTTTTCCACGTAGTTTCTCGACCTCGGATTTAACTTTCGCCGTGGTGACACCGGCTTCTTTGAGCAAATCCCCAATCTGAGAATCATCAAGAAGGCCAAGAACCAATTGATCGACAGCTAAATGCGTGTCCCCTCGCGATTTTTGTGCCGCTTGTGCCCTTCGAATTACCTTAATCAGAGTTGTACTCGCCGGCACTTCATCCGGTGCAGGGGATTGAGATGGAAGCTTCTTCAATGCTCGATTGAAGACCGTCTCCACTTCTTTTTGGGCATTTTCACCACCGGAACTAGAAATCGCTTGGCTGAAAATCCCACTCGGATCAGAAATCAAAGCAACCGCCAAATGAAGCGGTGTCAGTTGCGCATGGCCAGAATTCAAAGCTAACTCGTGAGCTCCGGCGAGTGCCTCATTAGTCTTGTGGGTGAATTTATCAGGATTCATATCCGAAAAAAATTCTAAAAGAATAAAATAAAAACAGACGATCAACACCAATAGCAGAAAAAAGCAACGAAAGCCATCAAAATACAAGAACAATCACACAATGAATCAAACTGAAACCCATCAATTAAAAAGAAAGAGTCAGCGATCACCATACCTTCAATTCAAAGAACAGAAATGCAGTTGTACAAAACCCTTGCGGTAGTAGGAGACTTGATTCAAAAGAAACTGTTCAGTATCAAAGAGAAATCCGATCTCGATTATCGAAACGTTGCGTACAAATGTTTGTGCAGTGAAATGGAAGAAGATTGCAGAAACACGGAGGCGGCATGGTGTTCTTATGGAATGAAAATGGAGGCATCTGGAAGGAACTAGACTTGGCCGGATTTTACCAGACGTTATAATTTGCACGGCCACGAAGTCTTCCCCTTGGTGGCCCATCCCGCATCTAATGCCTTTATTTTTTCTTTTTTTCTTTTTTTCTTTTTTTAATAATCATATTACAGGATATTTTTGGTTTTATCTTAATAAACTATACATCCTTTATTCTTATTATTTTTGTACATTCAGTTTCATTCGATTTAATAAAAGTTTGGTTAGTTTGTAACAAGAAAAACCGTGATTAGTCCCTTAATTTAGTTAATCAATATTTAATTATCTTTCTTTTAAATATTATTCTCTATTAAAATACTTTATACCATTAAAGAATAGTATTATAAAATATAGATTTATTCTCTGACTTTTGAGTAATAAGTTTGAGGAAATATTTTCGACCAACTCAAAATTTCAAGTTGATTGAATTGATAACTCAAGTACCTGAAATTATTTCACAACTCAATTTAACCGTCTATTTTTTTTTTTTTTTTTTTTGTGTGTTTCAATGCAATGACCGTCTATATTTTTGGTGTGTTTCAGTGCAATGACGAAGGTGTAGAACGTGACCAGTCACGTGGGCAAGGGCAAAGACTGACAGCAAGAAGCTGCATAAGCAATGGCGAGGCCAAGGATCATGGCTAGTGACATAGGCAAGGGGCGATGGCTATCGATGACGAGTTGCATCTGCAAAGGGTGTTTGCATCTAGCATCGATGACAAGGGTAAGGTGAGGATTTGCATCTATGTCGAGCGAAACCTAATTGTTTTTGTCCTATATATATTTGAACCGGTTCAATTCTAAAAAAATACCATCTAACTCAACTCAGCTGTTATGATTGAATGATATTCTTTTTATAAATATTTAGTGATAAGACCGATACTAATTTTCCTGATATTATGCATGGATCAACTATATCATGGCGAATTCTTCAGAAAAAATTGTCTTCCAAAATGGACTCTAATAAGTGAAATTTCGAGTAAATGTTTACATAATTCTCTACTGTACGAAGAAATGATTCATCAAAATAATGAGTCATTATCGACAGATGTTCTAGATTATTTAGTCCACTTTCTTTATTATTTAGGATACTTTCCTCCATTTTTATTTTAATATAATAAATCATTGATGAAGATTCTAGAATCTTCAATTAGCTGACTGGTGTGCGACCATTCCGAAAACGACTTGACCACCAGAGGACCCACTCCCATTTTAGTACTTTATAGTATTTTATATAAATAAATAAATAAAAGTGGTCGCAATATTTAAATATACATGAGTTTAAAAAAAAAAAAAAACACATAAAGACTAAAAACATTGTCTAAACAAACTTTTCATATTAAAAATCCCAGTATTATAAAGATCATTCCAACTCCTGACACAAATTCATTGCCATTTCATGAAAGGATGAAAATAAAGCGTCAAATCTATCTTCTTTGTATGATCATCAGAACCTCTCAATCTATTTCTCTTGCCAGCAGCCAAACATAGCATGATATTGAATATAGAGAGAGAATTAGAGTTCGAACAGCAAAGGAAAAGGCCAGCCAATGAGAACAAGAAAATCAATGCTTTTCCATGGAGACAGAAATTAGTAATGGGTTGTTCAGCACAGATGAAATTATACCAAGAAAACGCCATTTTCATACCGTGATCTCATGTAACCAATTTACAGAAGTGGGATTAATAGCCAGAGCCGCATGAACCTTTTGAATCTGCCGGAGTTGGGCTGGAGAGTTCTTTAGTCCTCCACTTGTTCCGCAGTTCGTCTCTCTCGGAATAGAATGCTACCATTGCAGAATGATCAACCGTGCCACCGCCCGCTGTTAATTAGAAATGTCAATGAGATACACCTTTCAGTTTCTTATGAAGTTCTTATAACAAATGAAAGCAACCATCCTAGAAGGGAAAGCACAGAAGACTATCTAACAAGTTCATGAGTAAAAAAGACTTTTCTTGAATTGGCAGAATTCTATATCAACCATTATAACTATTCATTAAAAATGATTTTGGCACTGTAACAACTTCAGAAAAGGGGGAAATACTGATTTTGACGTTGCTGGTTACGAAACTCAAGATGAGCAATCCCGCTTGTGCTAACATGCGTGTTTAAAATATCAAAGAGATAAACCACTGAAATATACTCTAAAATAAAAATAAAGCAAACTAAAGATCAAAAGAGAAGTGATGAATGGATATTTGCAAGATTTTCCAGTTTCCACCATCATTAGAACTCAAATGGAAATGAGATGAAAATGCTCACTATTTATCTCATATGAAGCAAGTTTTCAATCCTCATCGCTGTCATAAACCACTGCCATCCTGCGATGGGTTGCAACCTTCCTTGGAGGAGACTCCTCATCAGACTCAATCCCCTTGCGCTTGTGACTGCCCCCATAATCTCTAACCTTATGCTTGGGCTCCTGCAAATAGAAGGGAAAATTGATCACAAACAGTGGAAGGATGAAATATATAGAGTTTATATGTAGTGGGTTGGGATGGTTTGGAGAATTTTGCACCAAATTCAAGGATTTAAACACTGATTGGAAGTTTTTATGCAATGGTTTCCCAATTTGTCCAAGGCAACAAATCGCAAGGGTCGTAACCTGCCAACAAGCAATCTCCTTCTAGCACTTACTTTCTTTTCTCTTCTTTCGGAGGGTGCTCTCCTTATGTCTATAAGGTAAAACTTAAAAGCCAATATTCATTTTCTCTCACTTATTACCCTTTCAAGACAGCCAATAATCTTCGGCTAAATCTCTTTGGAAGTTTCTCCTGAACTTTAATCAAGGAAATTACCAAATTTGTATAGGCAAAGGCAGAAACCTGCTTTCTTTTCTTCATAAAGTTATTCTTGTTAATGCTTCTAAGTGAACACTTAGTAAATCAATATTCTGTTGTAATTCAACCTGTAATGTTTGGGCTAGTTGGAAACGCTTTATTGCAACTTCCGTGAACTGGGGATTTCTTCCCCTTCTCTGTATATTTCATTATGTAATGAAATCTCAAGAATATATATATATATTAAATCATACCTCGGCCTCTTCATCCACATCTGAAACTTCATTAACTTCTGCCTCTTCATCACGTTCATCGTCTTCTTCCCCCTCTTCATCATACTCCTGCTCTGGTTCTTCAACTCTCCCATGAGCACCATCTTCTCCTTCACTTTCGTACTCAGACTCTTCCTTCTCACTGTCAGAGAAATCCACAGGACGCCCAGATGATTTAGCAGCGGGCAAGGATGACTTCCAGGGTATGTTTCTAGTTCCCTGTGATGCAAATTCCATTTGCACTTTTAGCACTCTAACAAAAATCAATGGGCAAGATTTAATTGACAAGGTAATAGACCTTCTTTGCATTCATTATCCGTTTTTCAGCTCGCTCTTCAGCTTCCAAATCTTCCTCAAAGCGGCGGCTGGAACGACGTGAATCAATATAATCTGTTTCATCTTCCTGGACAAAAAACATGGTAAGTTAAGTAATCTCCATGACTTGCAAAAGAACATAACGATGTGCTTCCAATAATTTTATAACTGAAATGAGATCTATAAAGTTGTATACAGAAGCAACAGATGCAACACATGCAACCGCAGCAACTTTTCCTTCTTTTCAGCATCATAAGCAACTTATAACCCCTAAACCAGAAGTCGGTTCAAATTCGCAAATCCTGAATGCCAAACTACCCAAATAGCCTAACTTGACAACTTAAAACAAGAAACATTCTCAGATCCCAAAAGATTTAGATAATGGGAAGAGATGAGAAAGAAAATTACAACAGCATACCTCCTCAAGGGCATCTTCCAAGAACCCAGGCGATAGTTGGCGCCTTCTGTCAATGACAGGAGTATATTTCTTGTTAACCTTTTCCTTCTTCCGATTAAGAAGTACATTTGCCCTGATTGTTTGACTTTCGGCCTACAACAGCACAATACAATACAGCAAGTGAACACCATGATTTATGTACGATTCAGAGCAACAAACACCATTAGACCATTTACCCTTTCTTTTTCCTCTTTTTCCCTTTCAGGATCAATGTGCGTTACGCAATTCTTAACCTTATACACCTTCTTATGTCGTGAGTCAACCAGAGCAGTTAACAAGCGGTGAGAATTAGATGTCAGGGACGATGGAACGAACCTCATCTTTCTCATAAGCCTACCTTGTGATTGCAGAATTCCCTGCACGTACAAAACAGATGATCATCATATGAAATACATTTCCACCAATAGAGAAGGGGAAAAAAAGACCTGTTATTTGTTCGTTTACAAAGGAGGGATCACCCTAGAAAGGGAAATAAGAGTTGCAAAGTTTAAACAATGCAAGTAAGTTTTCTAATTCACTTTTTGCAATAAGAATAGGTTAGTTATCATATCCACATCCCAAGCCCAAAAAAATTAAAAAGCATAAATATATCTATGCTCCAGATATAAAATGATCAAAATATCTCTTCAAAGTAGAAAGGAATTCAAATCCTAACGCAGGTGAAACAAAAACTAGCTTAATTAAACTTCTACACTGATGCAACAAAATGATACAAATTTCAGCAATATTCTATGTAGTTGAGCACGATTCTCAGTCCCAAATCCTTAAGAGTAGAAAAAGAGCCTTGAGTTCAAACAGTTAAACAAGAAAAAAATGTGACAGAACTATAAATCTAAATTTCAATTTTAATTACTTTTGAGACATTACCTTCCCATGCCTAAGAAACAAGTGTGCTTGGTCGTGCTTTGCATCTTGCACGTTTATGTCAAGCACTTCATTCCCAATTAATAGCTGCAAACTGCCATCTGACCACCTCACAAAACGTGCATTACTTTCATACTACAAATCAGGAAAACAAATGTTAAAACTTTTAGTAATGCAAAAGAAAAGGCAAAAAAAACCAATTTAGCATAATAAACTTAGGAAAGCCTAAAAATGTATAAAATCTGACCGAGAATCTTGTTTCTTTCCTTTCATACTCCTCCCACCAAAGTTGGGACGACACTCATTTG